CAGAATAAGCTTGATCATCCCCACTGAGAGAATTGACAGACAGATACAACTGAGTATCATCAGCATAGAAATGATAGCCCATGTTGTATTGTCTGACAATATCCCCCAATGGGGAGGTATAGAGCAGATAAGTGGATAAACACATAAACACCTCAAAACTTGCTCTACGCCTGACCTACGCTCCATACTCATTGTACAGCTGCACTCGCTGGAAAAACAAAGCAATTAAAAATGCACCCCCCTCAGGAAACTAGAAATTAATTTAGCGATGATTACACAGTTTCCTGCATTTAAAGTGTTTCTATCACTGAAATTCAAGCAATTTCTTTCGAAATTTCTTGGTTCCCTGCTGTTAGTATTTTTTTCACTTGGTTTTTGTTAAATCTGTACATTTTGACCAAGTACAAGTAGTTTTGTTTTTTTTTTTGTACCAAACCACCACCATCCTCGCATAAACCGGTTGAAGAACTTAGAAATCCCTTTATCACGTAAAGGTGTATTAGTTAGTAACCGAGAAGGATTCAACGCTTGTGATTATTTTACTTGGCATTACTTTGAAGTACAGTAATTTATGTACATTTCGTTGGTTCCTTGTAAAGCTGTTATTGTTAATAAAAACAGCGCAGTTGACTGTGCGAGGTTTGTTGAATCGACCTGCACCGCGATTCAGCCTTCCAGAACCGCGCCACGTGCACGATTCATTCCGGGATCACACGATTTCCCCGTTTATAGAGCAGGGGGGTATGATAAATGTCATCATCATCACCATCGGTCGAAGCTTCAATATCTTTCCAGCGAGAGTAACTACTAACAAAGCAAATACGACATGAGGTCTTGAATTAAATAATAGCCATTAATAATAAAGAGACACCTTTTGACTATAAATGAAAACCATCATTAAAATTTTGGGATATGGTGAATGGCTTTGGACAAATAACCCTGAAACTGATCAAGTTTACGTCCGTAACTGTTTAATTGACCCTAGACATCTGAAATTGAGGACAAGATTACTTGAACATAGTTAAGCTGACAGATAAGTAAATTTTTAGTTGTTTGAAAAATATATAGCCAATGTCATCAGTGGAGACCCCGTCAAACAGAAGAAATTAAATCCGAGACCCATGAAACATTTCCGCTGTCGTATCCACTGAGTGCGACGTACAATAACCCTTAAAACGTTGATGAATTTTAGTTCATTTGCAGATGGGGTTAATTTTGCTCCCGTTTTCTATCTGATCATCTGTTCATGGAGAAATCAAAGACACTCTCGCTATTTGTCTCGTGGCGCTGATTCTCGTCGAGATAGAACTTCATGTTCATCGTCAAATGCTTCAAGTTTTAAATCAAGAGAGAGAAGACAGCATCGAGCTGCGGAAAGTAGTCGATCGTCAGGAAAAAAACATCGATTCTGTCTTGAAGATGTTGCGGGGTGGATCATCTACAGGTAAAGGCATACTTATTAAACTGTGGCCTCGTATTCAATTTTTCTCAATTTTTGACATCCATATGAAATTAATTTAAAATAACTTTTAAAATTGAATCATTTAAGCTCAGGGAAAAAAACAACCTTTCTTAGACAAAGGTGATTGCAATTTTTGGCTCTCTAAGGGAGACGACAAACTGAAGCGCCTTTGTGCGCTCTTCTGAAAGAGAAGGGAAAAGGAAGTTATTGCTATTCAGCACTATTCCTGTAAACCTGAGGCGGTTGCATTTAGGAAGGATTTGATTAACACTTCCTCTTTAGCTGGAAATGTCAGACTGATCAAATTCTTCTAAGGCCCATATGGCACTAAACAAAACAAGGAACACTAGCAGCTGACCTTTGCACAAAAATAGGATGACATCCTTAGGACCATTCCTTATAACTACGTAACGTTGGAGAATGAAAGAGGGTTGAATAGGGAGGGTTCCCCCCCCCCCCCCCGGGGGGGGGGGGGGGGCGCTGTGGGCATGGCTTACCAGTAGAACTTGAGAGAATAATCATAAACCTTTATGTTAGACGTGGCCCGAGTAACCTCAATTATAAGTGAAGAAAGAGTGGAATTTATATTTGCCAATGAAGATTAATTAAGGATCTGGAGGTCCGGTGTTCAAGCCTAGAACGTCGCGTTGTTTCCTTAGACAAGGAACTTTGCTCCACTAGGCGACATACTGCTGGGCGTAACTCTGCGATGGATTAACATCCCTTCCAGGGGGGGAAGCAATACCTCTAGCCATGCTTCATGCTAAAGAAACCAGGATAAGCTCTGGCCGGTTTGGCATTTGGCTCGTTTTCGCTTTCAGTACCTTCACCTTTAATGAAGATTAAGGCTCTTGCTCTAACAGAACTGATTTGCTGATTACATTACATTTCAGATGCACATATCCGTCAAAAACGCCATCTGTAAAACAAGGATTCAAACGCCAGTAAAACCTTCACCAGGAAAGAAATTCAAATGGCCTGTACAATTTATTGTCCCAAAGGAATCAGGGGGAGACAAGGCCGGCCTGGACCCCCAGGCAAGCATGGTTCGCCCGGCCCTCAAGGACCTCAGGGGCCTACAGGTACTCAAGGAGATCAATGGCCTCCTGGATCTAAAGGCGATCAAGGCCCTCAAGGATCCAAGGGCGATCCTGGTGAATCCATCTTAGCCCCTTCTATTGTGTCACCTCTGGTATCTATGGTGGTAAATGAAAACTGGTATAACCTCATTTCAGTGCGATGTTAAGGGAAATCCAGCACCTCAAGTCACGTGGCTGAAGCAGAATTTAAGTCTTCCCGACGACAAATGAATTGTTCAATCACGAGATGTATTAATGATTAAAGATGTTAGGTCACAGGATCGTAGAGTGTATACGTGTAAAGCGAGAAATATTCTTGGAATGATGACTTCATCGGCTACGTTAACTGTCCAAGGTGAGGAATAGACATTTATTCTGAGGCCCTGGGAAATGATTTTTGGGGAAAGAGGCTCAGTCAGTAAGCAAAAACATTGACCACTCTTGTGAAAGGGGAGGGTTAATCGTCGAAAAAAATTGAAATTAAACCACTAAAGGAGACCAACCTACTGTAGGCATGGTCCTGCTCGATATGACCCCTAAAAGAATCCCAAAAATTAAGGTTACATATATATATCATGACCTATGCTTTTTTAAAAAATACAGCCAAATCAGAGATATCAAAACGTACTCAACGAAAGTAAAAAATAAAAGTCATCTGCAAGCTAACTTATCGTCTTCTTTGCTGCAATGAGGTCTTGATGACCTTTGAAAACGTGTTTATCCAAATGAGCTAACGGGTTATCTTCAAGGGATAATCACCCAACACGTTACTGATGTCCTAAACAGTAAAAAAAACCAAGCCAGGACAGTCTTGTATCCACGGTTCCTAAGAGGGGTATTATCTAATTTATCGTCCTGTTACCTTACTTAAACCTCCAGAGAAAACACTTCCCGCATCAAATCTTTGTCCTTATCTTACATAATAATGTGGTGATAATGTGTTCAAACACATTGGGTTAAATTTGACGTATTATTTAAAAGAATACTTAATGATTTTAATACACTTAATAATTCGACAACAATGTTTTGGTCTATTCTTTAATCGACCATAGAAATGCAGAGTTGTGACCATTTTGTGATCATTTCTATAGTCGATAAGAATACAAACTAAGGAAAACTGTTGTTCGTTTGTTTTAATATACAATTACTTTTTCTCGAAAAAAATCTTTTTGGTTTATTCTCTTATTGACCATAGAAATGCAAAGTTATGACCATTTTGTGGTCATTTCTGTGGTCGATGAGAATTTAGACTAAGGAAAACACTTGTCCGTTTGTTTCATGCAAAAACTTTCACAGAAAATCGCGCGAGAGAGAATTGAAAGGGTAAAAAATTGCACCACCATTAGATCATTTGCATGGTTTATTATCCCATTGACAATAGGTCTCGACCAATCATCGCACGAAAAATGGCTAAGTCATTGTAAAAAGGTGTAGTTTCAACATATAATGCTCACAAAGTCATTATGCGATTACACCATCGATCAGTTTTCATAATGAGTTAATCACCCTTGGTACTTTTACATGTCTCTAATGTCAAAGCTGCTTCTGTTTTACAGTCCGCGCCTTGATCACTCATAAATCATCATCGATCACAGTGGAAGAAAGACAAAAAGGTGAACCTGCAGTGTAAAGCTGTTGGGTTGCCTGTACCAAGGGTCACCTGGCAGAAAGCGTTCAGCAAGTTCCCGGTGAAGAGAAGCTCAATAGTCAATTGAAACCTGTCGTGAGTGAGTATCCGCAGTATAACTAAAGCAGATAGTGGGACTTACGCATGCTCAGCAAAGAATGTCCTTGGAGATGACTCCGCTGTCGCTGTGGTGATGGTGATTGACAGGCTGCAATTCATCCTAATCCCTCTCAAAAAAGTAACTGTCTTAGAATCTTGCAAAGAGACCTTACATTGCACAGCTCAGGGGTCAATAGAGATCGTCTGGAAAAGAGTGGGTAAACAAATGTCTCAAAATCATGTTGTTTATCCAAACGGAACCTTGCTTCTGACAAACCTTTCTCCAAATGATGCTGGTTCGTATACATGCATAGCGAAAAACTCGCTGCGGTCTATTGAAGCATCATCTGTTGTCGAAGTGCCCAAACGTAAACCCACATCCTGTAGCGGTTTAAAATCAAGCTGCAGAGAAAAAACTTCAGGTAATTATATTATTGACCCTGATGGCAAAAGAGGCGTGACCCCGTTCAGTGTGTATTGTGATATGAGTGACAGGGGAGGAGTTGGCGTGACAGTCATAAGTCACGACGGTGAGAGTAGGACACATGTGAGTGGATATGCATATCAGTGTCGAGGTTGTTACAGTAAAAATGTGACCTACACTAGAGTTAGCACAGCTCAGTTGGCCTCACTCGCTCGAGTCTCACAGAAATGTGAACAGTTTATCAAGTTTGAATGCAATAATGATGTTATATTTATACAGCAGAATGGTGCCAGGTGGTTGTCACTTAACGGAACACGCATGAACTACTGGGGTGGAGCTACAGGGTACAAAAACATGTGTGCATGCGGAGTTATAAACTCGTGCTCTAATGGTAAGAAGTGTAATTGTTACAACAGTGCCGATGGGTGGAGAGAGGACAGCGGTCTGATGACAAATAAGTCCGCTTTACTTGTGACTCAGATCAGACTGGGCGACTTTGACCAATCACAAGAGGAAGGTTATCACACATTAGGCAAACTCAAATGTTATGGACAAGCTTAATGAACTTGCTTTGCTACAAACACGGCCCGTTTGTCAAAAGGTATAAGCTTCGGACCAGTAGTTACTTCGGCGCAAATTATTTCTGTAAAGATAAGACATCCATGCTTCATGAGAAGCTTGTCCGATGGTGGATCGTTTTTAAACGCCCAGAAACCTAGATCCTAGATGGCATATTGAATAACATATATGTCATCGAACTTTCTTAGTTAAGCAGAAAATAACTTTTTTAAATTCACTAACTAAAAAGGGGACTTTTTTGAACATCGGTTAGAAAGAATATGAATCAGCTTTTAATTACTTTCAAGAACTGCAATAAACTAGAGCATCGAGTCTTCATTTCTGAAATATTTAAGGTTTTGTTCTAAAGTTCTTTGCATCATGCACTGCGGGGTCGTGAACCTATAATTATAATATGGAGATCAGTAACTTCTTGATTTAAACTTCCTATTTGTATCGTTTGATCTATAGAATAACTAAGGTAAATAAGCCCACAATTATCTAAAATGAACTCTTTTCCCTCTTACTCAAACGATGCGCTTCTAGGTGTTACAGGACTAAATGCGTCATTTTTTTGGTATAGACAAAAATGTTTTAGGTTCTAGAAACTGTCAAATTACTCAAATATACGAACTGATAAGACGAACATCTTTTAATTAACTAGCTTGTACTTTTTTGGGGGGGGGGAAGATGGAATGCTGACATATTTATATAGCAACAGTTTATCTTTCTGAAACCAGCTAAATCAGTAGTTTACGGCTCGGAAATGGCAGTCTTGTCCCCACCTTGACCTGGGTTTCTTTTAATTTACATCTACTGTCCCTTATTGTAATAGCATGTTAATAACGAACACCTATACAGTCAGATAAGTTAACGCGATGGAGTATAAAAAGTAGAGGAAATCTGAAATTAAACAAACAGAAGAAAGACAAAGAGAAAAGACGGAGAAAGTGGAGAGGAAGAAAAAAGAAGGAAGAGAGAAAACAAAGGCAGAAATATAAGAACTGTGGAGGAAACGGAAAAAGATTTTACAGTTAAAACGCAGTTATTGAAAAATTTTTAAATTGTAAATGTCTCTTTTAAATAAATCGTCTTGCCCTTCTTAAAATCGTCTCAATCACTTCACACTGTCGAAGCACGCACACGTACTTGCCACATTTCTTTCACACTGGTATAGAACGTCCCTAATTACTTATCTAAATATCACAGGTCCCACTACAGTTCACGGTCACAGTAAATGGACGAGGGGACCTATTGAATCTTTATTAGGCTAGATCCTTTGGTTATTTTTTTCGCTATTTCAGGAACTGAATATTCCACAAGGATTTCTTCAAATCGTGGATGAATTGCTGTCTGTACCGTTAGGAAATGATTCGTTAACTAGATAAACATCTAAATTAAACCTGCTCTTCACATGGTCCAGCTACCAGTAGGCATTGTATAACTGCACTCGCTGAAAAACTAAACAATCAGAATAATTATATAGTCTTCAGTTTCCCTAGATTTCTAGTAATCAGTCCAAAATGTCCAAAACTTATGTACCCTCAGGGAAGTGAAAGTTATAATTTGTCTAACATAGCGATGATGACACGGTTTCTAGCATTCTGCCTAGTAATTTTCAAGGAGTTATAATAACTCCTCTGGTTAACTCCTTACAGTGGAGTTATTTTTTGGGGAGTTATTTTAACTGCAAAAAGAAGTTTAAGGAACTCTTTTTCAGGAGCAAAAATCACCCAAGATTTGGAGTGAAAATTGGGAAGTTTAAGTAACCCCTAAAAACGGGTTTTCCTGTACCTAAAATTTTTACTGTGTGAGTGGTAAATCAACGTGTTTTCATGCCCGAAATTCAAGTAACTTTTTGGTTCCGTTCGATTCGAAGTTTTTACTTGGTTTTGGTTATAACTGTACATCCTCATGTAAAAGTATATATAGCCGTTTCAGCTTTGGTTTCTTGACAAAAGTACCATTAGATATCCCCGCATATATTAAAACAGAATGGAATCGCTTATTACAAGAGACCCTTATGTACATTTTAGTTGCTTACTTGTCAAATCGTTGCTGTTAATAAACACAGCGCTGTTGATCGTAGGAGGTTTGTTGAATCGGTTTTCACTGAGGTGAGCTTCCAAGCTGGTCAATTACCTTAACTGTGTACAGTCGCCCAGTGATTTTAATACAAACAACTTTTTTCTTTTCATGAAAAGAGGACTGTTAGAAATTGACCAGGCGTTAACCGTTGCTGCGTGGCAGGCGTCGAAAGGGGAGAGGAAAGGAAGGAAAAGGGAGAGGAGATTGGGGAGAGAAGGAAAGGGCCTTCCTTTAAAGTTTGCCTTTTGTGCTTTTCTCTCCCTCCCCTCCCCTCCCATTTCAGTTTTGTGCCTGCCAAACACTTGAGCCTCTTCAGTCCCTCTCGCCAAATCAAAATAGAAATGCCCGGAACTTTGTAAAAAAGAAAAACAGTAGATGCGGAACTTTTGAAATTTCATTTTACATATTTCTGATGGAAATTATCAGACGACGGAAGTACCTCGAGGTCTTACCCTCAATTACAGTACAATTATAATAAATAGCAGTGTTCCTCTCCTATCGTCTCGCTTTCGTAATTTTTATAGAGCAGGGGTATGATAAAAATCATCACAATCATCATCATCCATCCGCAAGTTCTTTCTCCAACTGACAAAACAAACACGACATTAGCTTTTGAATGAAATAACAGCCATTACTAATAAAGAGACATGTTTTTCAGTAAATTAAAACCGTCTTTAAAATTGGTGAATGGCTTGAACACCTGATCAAGCTTAGCTCCCACTCTGCGATGACGTCCGCCACTGTGTTATTGACCCCAGACATCTGACATTGAGGTTAGGATTACATGAAAATAGCTAAGATGACAGCTAACCGAATTTTTGGTTTTTCGGAAAATAGCCAATGTTGTCAGTGGAGACCAGGTCAAACAGAAGAAATTAAATCCAACACCCGGCATAAAACATTTCCGCTGTCGTATACACTGTATGCGACAACAACCCAAGCTGCAATTGAACTAAAATTCATCAACGTTTTAGCACTCGTTTTTTGTCTGATCAACTGTTCATGGAGAAATCAAAGACACCTCAAGTCTCTCACCCCTCGCAATTTTCATCCGCGATATTTTCAGTCACTCTCGCAATTTGTTTCGTGGCGCTGATTCACGTCGAGATCGAACTTTATGTTCATCGTCAAATGCTTCAAGTTTTAAATCAAGAGAGAGAAGACAGCATCGAGCTGCGAAAAGTAGTCGATGATCATGAAAAAACCATCGATTCTGTGTTGAAGATGTTGCAGAGCGGATCACCTACAGGTAATTGCATTCTTATTAAACTATCCATCGTCTTCAATTTTTCTCAATTTTTAACATCCATATGCAGTTTAAAGAAGAATCAAAAGACTAATTAATTTAAAATAAAATTGAATCATTTAAGCTCATTTAAGAAAAAGGTGACTGCAATTTTTGGCTCACTAAGGGAAATGACAAAATGAAGTGCCTCTTAATTACGCGAGGTCAACTCTGACTCGGTTCATACGTGCTGATCAAAGCGGCAGTACTCCTAAATAATTTTTTTTGCTCGCTTTGCGCGCTCTTTTGAAAGAGAAGGGAAAAGGAAGTTACTGTCATTCAGCATTTAGGAAGGATTTGATTAACACTTCCTGTTTATCTGAAACTCTGTCAGACTGATTAAATTCTTCTAAGGCCCACATGGCACGAAACAAAACAAGGAACACCAGCAGCTGATCTTTCCACAAAAATAGAGTGTTAAATCCTAAGGAACCATTCTTTAAGAATACGTAACGTAGGAGAATGAAAGAGGGTTGAATGTGTGTGTGTGTGTGTGTGTGTAGGGAGGGGTGGGGGGGGGGGGGGAAGGGCGCTGGGGGCATGGCTTACCAGCAGAACTTGAGAGAGTAATCATAAACATTTATGTTAGCCGTGGCCCGAATCACGTCAATCATAAGTGAAGTATTAAAGAGTTAAATTTGTGTTTGCTAATGAAGATTAAGGATCTGGAGGTTCGGGGTTCAAGTCGCGTTGTTTCCTTACACAAGGCACTTTGCTCCACTTTCTCTATCCTCGCCCAGGTGTACAAATGGGTACCGGCAACGCAGTTGCCCGGGGGGGCACTCCCTATAATGGCCTATACGGGGAGGCTTCGCCCGAAAGGGGTGCCTTTTTCAGGCCTCAGGTTTTCGAAAGAGTAGGGATTTTACTCGTTGAAGTATACGAAAGGGTAGGAAAATCTGTAATTTGGGTCTGTGAAAGGGCCTAAAAGAGCTTAATCTCGTACCCAGATCTCCCACGGCCAAGGGAAAGGGAGATCTGGTAAAGTTCGATTTCGATCATGCTCAGTAGAAGCGAGGCCCAGTATACGGGCCTTGCTATAACTGCGCATGTTCGTGCTTACTGTTCGGGAAACATAAGGAAAACATGGAGTACGTTGGACAGTGTTCTAGAAGATGCTCTTCGAAGTAGAGGTCAAGGAAATCTTATACTGAAGCCTAGACAAAAAGAAGCACTACAGTCGATTTTTTTTAAAGGTCAGGATTGTTTAGTTGTTCTTCCAACTGGCTACGGGAAGTCGTTGATCTACCAAATGCTACCATCACTGTTTGATAAAATTAGTGCGAGGAACCTTTCATCGAAGGACAAGTCAATTGTCATTGTTGTTTCTCCTTTGAATGCCTTAATTGATGACCAAATAAATAAACTTAAATCAGCCGGTGTCAATTGTACAAGTTTGCGTGTTTGTGGTGACGAGGTCGATGGGGCATTTGAAGAGAAAATTCTTGAAGACCTTCAAGCTCGAAAGGTTGAATTAATTTTTACACACCCCGAGGTAGCAGTGAGCAACAGGCGATGTAGAGACCTTTTTTTGTCGGCTTACTACCAGAAAAATGTTAGGGCTGTGGTGTTTGATGAAGCACATTGCATCATTGAGTGGTAAATTATGATTATCATTACTTTTTGTTGT